GTCGGCTCCCGTCAGCCGCTGCCCACCCCGCGCATGCGCTGTGAGCAACGCCGTGCTCCCGTGGCCGGCCGCGAGGATTACTTCAGCGGCGCACGCCCTGCAGCTCCCATCGGGAAGATGTCGCGGTGCGCATGCGCGGGGTTGACCTGTGGGGCGGGGTTGGGCTTTCGTGCCGCACACAGCATGGCGCGAGGCTGCCCTCTGCGGTGGGCTGTGCGGCCGTCAAGCGGGAGCGGCCGCAAAACGAACCTCGATTTTGCGACAGCGAACGGCGGCGGCGGCAGCAGCGGCGGCAGGAGTGAGTGTGGAGAGCTGGTGACTGCGGCCGAGAAAATCAGCCGCGGGCCGTCGTGGTGAGCGGCTGTCCCGGGGCGGACTGCGGGCAGAGGCATTGCGCGGGGACCTTGTCAGGGGTCGTGGTGGCTTTGCCATCCTGCTGAGAAGATGGTGGTAAGTGTGCGTTAGTTGTTTGAGCCCCATTAGGCGCGGCCGCTTGTCGCTACGTTGCTGCTCCTATGGTTTCCAGGCCAGTTTTGTTCTCTGTGCCCAAGAGCGTTGGCCATTCCCGAGGAGTCTTCCTTCGACCTCTGCACAGTCCTTCACGAGAGCTTCTGAGCAGAGCTGTCCTGCCTCCTGTCTTGTCTCTGCGGCAGAGTCCAGCCCTTTAAAACCCGAAAGGGAACTGTGAAGCGTGTATCTTGAACTGTCTTGAAGTACCTATTTCGAGTAGGTTTTGTAGCGGGAAGGCAAGTGGAAGCGTTGTGTAAAAATGGTCTTTGTCAAAGTATCTCCAGTTTCTTAAGTAGTTCCTGGGAGAGGCCTTAAATTAATTTTGTATCTTGTACTGGTTATTATAGACGCTTTTGTTGCTTAAGTCAGTTTTTTACATCAGTGTAAGCTGGTATTGCTGTACGTTTGTTCTTATCCCTTCTGGTCCCTTTCTCTTAACAGATGTTTGTGAGACTCCACAATGTAGCAGCTTGAGGAGCTGTGCTGAGGGAGGAGCTGTCTGGCAGACTCGGTAACAAATGCAGCTGCTGTCTGTCTTTCAGCCCTGGCTGGGGTCCCTCATCTCCTCTTTTGCCTCTCTTCGACAGTCAATAGAGCTTTTTCTGAGCCGTTTACAAGAAAATCTGGCCTAGCAAATCAGTGAGTAGGTGTCTGAGCCAGTTCAGGAAAGAGCCAAATTAAATATTCAAACTGATTCGGGGGAGGCTATGAATTGGCAGATAGGTTGGCTTGGGCTGCTGCAGGACAGCTGCCAATGTTAAACCTTTTCTTTTTTTTTTTTTTTTGCCCCAGTTCAGCCTGAAAACAGGCCAGTTACCCAGTGTGATAAATCAAGTGACTGTAGAAACAGCTTGTACTGTCACAGCTGAAGGGGTGAGTCTGCATCTATGGGCATTAATAGTGGCCTGAAGCAGCTTACATTGCTTGTGGCAGAGTGCTACAAGACACCTTAAAACGTTGCTTCTCTACAGAAGGATTTAAAGCACAGTATATCTTTGTGAAATGGAAGCTCAAGCAATATGATGTTTTAATGTCACCTCATCCCTAAGCCCTGCAAAGATTGTCTGTTCTTCCAGTCACACATACTTCTGAAAAAGCAGTCTTAGTGTTGCACATCTGTAGTTCTGTCATGATTCACTCCGGCTCTTTGAACAGTTTGGTTTTGTGTTGTCACAGAGAAAAAAAACAGGTTTTAAAAATCAGAAGCTACTGTAGATAAAAAGTGCAAGTTATTAATCCCATCTCAGTGTCCTGCTTTTTACAAAGATTAGTGCTAAACAGCAGGCTATGTGATTGTGTTCCTGGGAACTACACCATATCTGTATTCTCCCTATTATTTTATCCACACAAAATCACTGTTTGAAGGTGTAGTTCAAAGCTATAGGTGCACATCTGCCTGGAAAACTGCATGGGATGAGAGCTACTAAAAATGAATATCTGTGAAGTCTGGAGGATATTTTTGCTTGTCAAAAAATATTGGAGGAAATAATAATAAAAGTGAAACAATAGAAATTTAAATAGCATGTAGTAGTTCTTGGGCTTTCTGCCTTCCAGACTGGGCACCTTCAAATTCCAGGTATCCTCATGGGCAGTGTCACTGGTAATGGCCAGGTGATGTGTAAAATTCTGGACCAGAGAAATCAAAGGCTGAGGAAGGTTTGGAAATATTAGTGGAGTGTGGGAAGGCAGTGATAAATAATGCAGTTTATAGGTGCAGACAAAAAAGGAGTATGACAACTGGTGAATTGTAGTGGAAATAGAAGAGGAGGTTTTGAGGCAAAGTCAAGAAAAGGGAAGTTTCTGAGGAAGAGTAGAAGTACAGAGTAGAGTCATCTGCACTGGTAGAACACATGCCATTCATTTGGTGCTCTCCCTCTGCTTATCTGTTGACTAAAGTGCTTCTCTTTAAGTTAGCAGAAGATAAAATATCTCTGGTTCTCAGGAAATTTCTACTGGAAGAAATTTGGGACAGTGACAGCTGTTGTCGTAGGTCTCAGACTCAAAGCCACAAGGATTCTGGCATTGTGTGGGATGGTGCCGGTCCAACATCAGTCTTGAAAACGTACTGAAATTCTTCTCTTTAGAACCCCTTTTGATTGTAGTTTTTGCCTCAGAGTTCTCATCCACTCTCCATTTGAACTCCGGTTTTGGCTGGGGCTTTATATATGTATTTGTTGTGCTTTATTTTTTGTCAGGCACAAAGGTGGTTTTCCCCCACTTACAAAAATTCTCTTTCCTGCATTCTGATAGACTTCAAACGTGATAAAATATGCCAAAGAGTGTCTTGAAGACTTAGTACTCAGGGGTCAGCATCGTATATGCAAAATGTAGCTTGCAGTAGAACCGAAACACTGGGACAGCAAAAATACAGTTTTGTTGACATATTATATACCCCTATGAAAGTTTTCTAAAAGCTGAATCCTCTGGGATCCTCTAAGTCAAATCAAAGTTTTTAGGCTCACAGTTCAAGTTACAGAATGCATATATGCTGTTTACAGTCCTCCAGCATAAACATACTAAATGTTTCAATGCCTTTCATTAATATTAGAAACTAGTATTTGACTTCACATTCTGCTACTGATAATGAATGTTGGTTTCTGCTTTTTAAGCTTTCCAGTGTGGTCCTTGCTGTCCTTACAGTCCCAGCTTTGTGCTGACACAGTGCTTGTTTTGTTCATGCAGCACTAGTGAAGTCCTGAATTTCCTGTCTTTGCAGAACTGTAAAAACTTATAAGGGAACAACAGCATTAAAAAGAATTGTTTTCTTGAGCAAACTGCTGTAAGTCATAAATTGTCCTTGCTGTGACTGAAGGAATAGCATATCCTAGACACCTGTAAATTTAGTTTACCTGCAGTGTTGTAGCCACAGCAGCAAAGAGCCAGATGCAGTCTGTGAAATCTGCCTGGGACCTTGTCAGGAGTCCATGTGGATTGCTCTCCCTGCTGCTGTGGCAGTGCTGTCACTAGGTCAGTGAACTAGTACGTGTCCCAACTAATCTAAATCTGGCTGAAGCATGTCTGCAGGCCCTGGCATTGGCTGTGGGATAAACATGCCGGGAGAAAACTAAACAATATGTAAACTGTGTAGCAGGTAATGTTTTGGTACCCAACAAAATGATCACACACTAGCCCTAGAACATGCTCTTTATTAAACAAGTACAATAAAGCAAACAAGCACACAAAGCTCAGTCAGGTATATAGCTATATATGTAGTAAACAAGCACAATAAAGGGAATAAGGTGTATATATATGTATATGTATAGCACAGAGGAAAATTAGCAGTGCATCAGATCATTAGAGAGAATAGTGATTAAGAAGAAATGCATCACCAGTTACCACCTAATCGTCATCATCTGGGCCACACTTCAAGCTGGGACGCCCTGTTGCAGCCAATGCTGGGAGTCCCAGGTAACTTGGAAAATTCCTGTGTGGTGCATCCACCCATAGGTGAGGCTTCACATTCGGCTACAGGAGGGTCCTGCTTTTATACCCTTAGAAACACAGCTGGCTTTATGCCATTCCTGTAATTGTTTATTGGTGTGGCCATGCAGTTTCTCATGATCTCACTGCTGGCTATGCCAAGAATGGGGCCAGGTGCCCCAGTGTGGCCAAATACGAAGATCATAGAACAGCTGCACGCTTATGTTTTCCTACTTCTTTCCAACAAATAGTAATAATGAATATAAATATATATACTTCATGTAATACACTTTGTCAAAAACATACTTTGATATGTCTCTCACAGTCGTGAGCGAGGATCACGGCTCTTAGTTAAGTTTCCATCCGTTACACATTCCACAATTGCAGAACATTTCATGACGGGGAATTGCAAAGTTCTTTTCTCCCTTCAGAGCAAAATTTGTCATTAGTCCTTAGAGATCCTTAAGATTGTTACATGGTTCTAATTCAGATTGAGATTCTCTTTGAATGTCACATTGCAATTGCTAGATTGCAGGGATTCAAGTGATGACGTCCTTTGTGTTTTGTTTTTTTTTTGTTGTAAGTGAACAGTCTTAATTCTGCTGCACATTGGAGCAGTATCATTTGTCAATACAATGTACTTGACTGTGATACTTCTGTTTCAAAAATGAACTGCCTAACACGCCCAGATAAAACTGGGTTAGATAAGAAACTTTCATCTTTCTAAGGAGTATAGTTTTACTATATTTCAAGTTGCTACTTTCCAATAATACTGAATTGTGTTGTCTTCAGTCTTACAAACAAAACCGTAAGGCTTCAAAATTAAATGGCAGCACATGCTCAGTTTTGTCGTAAGTATTTGCGTCATTAATAACTGAAAGACTGATTATTGTTTTTCTCCCCCAGTCTAGTCAGATCTCTTGTCTTACTTGTTTTTTTTACAGTGGCTTGTTTTGGAAAGCTTTGTTTCAGTGGGCTGTCAGGACGGGGTCTATTCAGCAGCTGGCTGGTTGGACATAGGACTTGGTAACTTAGGAAACGGTACTGAGCCTTTCTCATTTTTCTCATAGGCATAATAAAGCAGTGAAGAGGAACTGGGGGAAGTGTTACATGTCTTACTAATCAGAAAACTGCCTCTGAAATATTTGGACAAACTACATATATATGTAGTTAAATCTGAAAAGGTAGGATATCTTCCTTTTCTGTTTTATTCAGAAAACCTCATAACTAATAAAAACCTCTCTCGCAAGTCTCAGTGGGGTTACAAAAGTAATTTTATATGTGAAGTAGGAATGTGAAGCCTAAAACATACTCTTTTATGTGACTTCTTTGGGATCTTACTGAACTATAGGCTTTTCATGATGGGATTCTGATGAATGCAGGTTGCTGGTTAGTTCTTTACAAAGCTTTCAAATCCATTTAATCTACTCAGTTTTATAAAATAGACTATGTGAGAGAAGACAGTAGCTCTTCACGATTTCAGAATAAGCTGCAGTTTTGGCTTCTTTTTCTTCCTGTATATTAAGTACTACTCTAGGCATGTGGAGATTTCATGCTGTTCTCTCTGGAATAGAAGGCTACAATGAATAGAGAATCTTAGCCTTTTCAGTATGAAAGCAACATGTTAAGTGACGTGCAGTTCATAAATACAAATTCTGCTAGCTGGAAGTGCCCAGCTATTGTCTGTAAGGATACTTTTTTCTAAGTTGGTTAGGCATGATACAGAAGGCTTTAAAATGGAAAGCAAACATTTGCATTTGAGCTTCTACGATGTTTCTGCTTCAGGTAGAATTCAAGTAAGTAGAAAATCCATGTTTCACAGTGGCTGCTAGAACTGTGTTCTGTAACAGAATTCTGAGCAAGCATGGCTCAATTGCCTGTCTTTGCTTTCAGAATTCGGAGGAATGGGGATTCTGACATCCAGCAGTACAATCCTCAAATTCTTATTTAAATCTTAAAGTCTCTGAAGTATGTAAGTTTTTGCATTCTCACTGTGAAGTTCTTTATTCACATTAAGTTCTCAGTGTTTCTAGGGTTGCTTCCAGGCCTTTTGGTGGATCTGGCCATACAGATTCAGGACAAAGACTGCTTTATTTTTCTGTGTTTTAATAGGCTGAAAGTGTGCGGAGAGCATGGGTTATGATATTGAGCGTTTTGTTGGCTACGTCAATGAAGGGCTATTATGCTCCATCTGCCGTGATGTGCTAGAAGATCCGTTACAGGCTCCTTGTGAACATGCTTTCTGTACTGCTTGTATACATGGGTGGCTTGTTCACCACAGTAACTGCCCTGAAGACAGACAGATGATTGACGTGTCTTTGCTACGGCCTCTCTACAGGTATACAGTAATATTGCTGTATGTTGAAATCACATGAATTTAGGATTTCTCAGTTCCGCTTGCACAGCTTTATCTCTTGTCGTTTGCTGTCACTCATATTGTCTTTATCCAGTGTGACTGTGGCAGAAACTGATCACTTGCATGAAAGCATTAGCATTTTCTATTTATTATAACTAACTTTCAAGGTATTAAGATTTCAAACACTTATTTTGTTTTCCACTTTTTTAAATCTTTAATCCTGTTTCTAGACATCTCTCTGAATATTATTCTGAATGTCTTCTACAGCACCAAAGCGTTCAAATACTTTTTTAGAGAAATCAGGCAAAGCAACTGTTGACAACAGTCACTAAACACTGTATATCTTTTTTCTTTTCAGCCTTACTTAGATACTGTAGTTGGGTTTATAATGAATAATTTCTGTAGATATAAATCCAACTTCTCACCTTTAAATCCTTTTTTAAAAATGTCTTTATCCATAAGAATATCTGTCTTGAACCACTTTGTCATGTAAAGCAGGCTGATTTCACAAGTGTCTTCCATAACTGGTCAGGCAGTTGGGCTAAATGATTGTTGTAGGTCCATTCCAAGTGAACTATGCTATTCCCAGCGCACAGAGTTTCATCAGTAGACAGCGCTTGCTGATTAACCCATGCATTGTCTAATCTGCTCAGATTAACAGTTACATTGTGTTTAAAACCTTCAGCCACAGATGATAAATTTACTCCATTTGTATTCTCAGTACTTTTGTCAATAATGAGATTTTCTGCCTGGAAAGTTGACATACAGTGTAGACAGAACCCTTGAGTTTAATTTACAGGTTGTTTGGTGTGTACTCACTGTGGTCAGTTTGGTTTGGCATGTTTAGAAACACAAAATTTAAAATGATGACTGAGTAGCCCTTTTGATTGTTATCGGTAACATCTACTGAGCAGTGAAATAAAATTAAAATAAAGATTTCATTTGCACATTTAATTTTGGAGACTGAATTTTCCATTTACGCTGTTTCTTTTAAGCCTGTTCTTTTGCAATATGGAAAACAAAATATTGAACTGATTACTCACACTTTTTCGTAATGGAGATTAGAGTTTTGCTTTCTTTCCCCGAAGTTGAAAATACAAATTTCTCAGTAATGTTCCCAGATATTAGAACTCTTTTTTTTTTTTTTTTTTTTAATGTAGATACATGAGAAATGATTTAAACCGTCTTCAGCTACATTGCAAAAACAGGGAGTATGGCTGTCAAATGGTTTGTTCTCTGGAGTCTATAGACAGGCATGAAAGGGAGTGTGAATACAGTCAGATACCTTGCTCCAATGCCGGTGAGTAACATTTAAATAAATTGAATCCTTTATATTCAGAAAACATGTTTTCGTCATCTTTCTGTCAACATAATGGCAGTAATGGCCATTATTTCCAAACAGAAATTCAAAGCTTTGGCATAATTTGCTGTTTACAGCAGTGGTTTGGGACAAAATGTATTACTGATCTATGGCAGGCGTGATGGTTAGCAACAGTTTCTTACCCAAGAGCTGACCAAAATGAATGAGTATGATGGACTTCAAATTTACAAAGATATAGTAGTGCATTCGCTTTGCTTTCTGTCTTTCAGTGAGGTTGTCTTTCAATTTTGACTGCTTGTTCTGATGTCTGAATGAAGGTAACAGCACCTACACAATGTTTACGAATCACAATTTACTTATAAAGCATTTGGTTGCCTGGTGCATGTGCAGCTGCTCACTGTCTCCTGATTTTAACAGAAACCTATCATGGAAATAAGAATTGGTTTAATCTAAATTCTGTCTAGAATTGTTGAGATCATGGTAAGGTTTTTATTTAAAACAACCTACACCTCTCGAGGAAGAAACATACTGCTAAAAAGGATCATAGTGTTAAAATTTTATTCAAAATGTCATATATTTCTAGACAAAATTAATATCTAATTCCTGATGCTAAAAGAACAGCTAAGTCAGTTGTTGTAATTAATTATAAGAAGATTGCTCCACTGGAAGTTATAATTTCTCTCAGCAGTGACTCCTGCAGACGCTTCAGATTCACCTGGTTTACTTTCTACAGAAACAGTAGCATTTATAAAGTTCCCACAACTTATCTTTGGTGTCTGGTGTTCAGGACATGAGAGCTTTTGCATCTCTTGAACTCTTACTGTAGAATACAGTGGACTGTATTTTGAGTACCTCAATTACAAATCATTTATCAGTAAAGCTCCTCTAGAGGGCTGATGTTCATAGTTTTCTGGGGTTTTTGTTGACAAGTTTCATTGGTTCTGTTTTCTTACATGGATTTTACCTTAAAATTAAATGCAAGTGTGTATTACAGCAAACAGTCCTCTAAATATTAAGACTGCAAACTTCAAATTTAGTGTTACATGCAGCAATAATTTATATAGTGTTCGTTTTCAGTTCTCTACATTTTAGTTTTTAATCACTACAGGTTTGTAAAGTTTGTACCCTAGCATTTCTGTGGAAACTTTCCTATTTTTGAATAATTTATTAAATGTTCATAAATAAATGTTGTTGTTTATTTATGTTGTCTGGTATGTTATACACAAGACCAACCACCTGTGAGAAAAACAAGGTTACATCCCATCTCACCCACGTTTCTCTGACTAGGTCTTTGAACTTTTTTCCTAGATTTGATAAGGTAAGGGTTTTTTTTTTTAACTCATGGGCATTCTTCAATTTTAGTCAGTGTAATCTGGTGAAGCACAAGCCAGCTGCCACTGCCTTAGCTTGGCATCAGCACTGTCATTACTGAATTTGCTTTAATGCCAGACAAGCAGTAGAAGACTTCATAAAAAACAGGATCATAGAATGGTTTGGGTTAGAAAGGACCTTAAGATCATCACGTTCCAATTCCCTGCCATGGGCAAAGATGACTTGCGCTAGACCATGTCACCCAAGGCTCTGTCCAACCTGGCCTTGAACACTGCCAGGGATGGAGCATTTACCACTTCTTCAGGCAACTTGTTCCAGTTTTTCACCACTCTCACAGTAAAGAACTTCTTCCTTATATCTAACCTGAACTTCCCTTGTTTAAATTTAAACCTACTGCCCCTTGTCCTATCACTACAGTCCCTGACAGTCTGTCTCCAGCATCCTTGTAGGCGCTACTATCAGTTTTCCAGTGTTTTCAGCTAATGAAGTATCTTACTTAAAGAGTGTTTTATTACAAGTTATGTGTGTTATAACCATCATATTCACATTCTAAAGAAATTACTTTTTTCATTGCTTTAACAGAGTGACAGTTGTTTAGCTCAGGACATTGCAGCTTGCTTGCGCTTTTGTTAGTTGTTAACAACTGGCTTGTTTTACTGTTCCCTGTTCAGGCTGTACAGTTCAAGTTGAACGTCGTAACTTAGACAGTCACCTGGCAGTGTGTGAATATCGGAGCCGTGAATGCCCCAATGGCTGTGGCTACACCATTCTCAGTGTGGAAGACACACAGCACAATTGTGTGGCAGAGCTAAGAACCGAGCTAGAACTACTTCGGTACAAAACTTCTCTTCCTTTAATGTTTGCATTAGCTTGGGTTTAAAATCACTGCCCAAAGCATGTCAAATACTAACTCTGGATTCTGGTATGCATTATGCAGTCTATTAATTGCTTGATACTTATGGGCCAGCATATTGTTATGGGTCAGCATAGACTTGAAATTCTTACTCTTTTGATTATTTTGTTGTTACTTTGTTTTTGTCCAAGTTATTATAAATCCCAAAATGTCATTGCTTGCAGTGGAATAAGGCTGTGAGCTGACAATATACAATTACAAAATACCTAAGAAAGCTGGACAAAAGTTGGCAATTTCATTTTTCCATTAGACTATTACAGACCCAAAGTCACATTATTTAATAATTACATTTAGTTTATATTTGTACAGATCCAGAAAATAAAAACCTGTAATTATTTTGGCAGGTACGGACTGGTAGATTAAACCTCTGAGGATCTAATTTTCAATTTTTATTAAAACCCTGGCAGATTAATAACAAGTCAGTGAATGTGACTCTTCTTACCAGCATCCTTACAGATGTTTCTGTAGCTTTCCCTTTCCATGATATTCCAGTTTGATTTGTTTTTTTCCTATGCTCCTTCCCATTTCTGTCTTTCAACTCGCTAAGTCTTGTGCTCATTATCATTGCTGTGAAGTCAGGCTCAGATCTGATACAAAAGCATTGAGACACAAGGGATTCCACTGCCTGGTTTCTGAACTCAAAAGGTTAATGTAGTAACAGCTAGTTTGGGGCTGTGAAGCTGTGTGAATGATAAGTTTATAATAGTTTACTTCATATTATTGTTTAACGTCCACCATAAAAGTAACAAGATATTTAACAATACTATATTATTCAGACTTTTTATCTTGACTGCATGTGTTTAGTAATACTAAGCAAGCAGATACTCTAGGTAAAAGGCAGTAAATCATTTAAAATCAGTAAATCATTTAAAAACTCGTAGAATTACTTCAGGAATATGATACAGTTGTCCCCTATGTAGACTCTGTGAATGGTCACATAGTGCCCCCTTGCTAGTTTTATTTCAATTACAAAGCAGTACTGTCATGCCTCTGGAGGTGTGTCCTGCAGAATGTGATAGGAATCACATTGGGTTGTTTGGCTTCCAGAAGGCTTTCTGGAATTTGAAAATCACTGTCTTCCATGCCTACAACACTTAACAAGGTGAAATAAACTTTTTAGGTCAGAAATGATCTGCAGAGTGGAGGAGGCAAAGCATGAGATGGAGTCAAGGTTAGATTCACAGAGGAGGCATATGGTCCAAAAAGAGAGTATTCTGCAAAATGAAATTGAAGAACTGAAGGTAAATAGGATCATTTTATTTTCTGTTTTCCCCCTCTCCTAACAGTCCAATGCTTTGTTTTTCCCAATAATAGTCTCTTACTCTGTAAATGTAGTCTCATACAGATGAGAATTCCATTAAGTATGGGAAGCAAAACAGGTGTTAGCACAATGCTTTGCAAGTTAATCTTCTCTGGGGAGAAGCAGACTGAGTGCTCTATTTGTGTGGTTTATCTACTTCAAATTCATTTGGCGCTAACCTTGGTACCTCTGTACAAGGACAGCATTGTTCTGTATGTAAGATGCTGGCAAATCAGACTGAAACTCATTTTCAGTGTCTAAACACATGTGTGTCTACATCACAAATCAGATGTAATTAAATATCCAGCTCCTTTATTAGTGCTATGCAAAGTGACTTAATCCAGGGCTGGCTGACACGGAGCCCTGCTGCAGACAGTGGTATTTATGCTTTGGTTCAGCTGTGCTCAGAGGGTCGGAAAGTTGAACTGTAAACCTAATCAAGTAATGAGCAAGGCCATCTTACCTTTTCATTCATCCAGTTCTTATTATATCACAAAGTAATAACTTTTTAAAGCCCAGAGCAAGTACTTTATAGTTTACATTTTTATTTTTATTGGCTGTAATGTTAAATCCTTGAAGAATATACCTGAACATAACCAAACCCTTACTTTGGTCAGGGTCTTGAAATAGAAAATGTAAGCAGCAGCTGGGTAAATCCACTGTGTCTTATTACGTTTTGTAAGAAACCTTTTGCACTTTAAGGAAAACTGTTTTGGAATCTTAGAAATGAGATTATCTGAGAGAGTGAATGCAGGACTGTGTCTCAAGTTGTTTACATTTATTCTGCTATCAAAAAGTTATTTCAGTGTTGCTTATTCTTTATAATCCCTCACCGTACATGCGTGGGAAATTCAACTTCATACCACCATCACTAGAACAGAGTTTGTTTCTTGCGGTAAATCCAAGTTGCATTTCAGAGTCAGATGTCACGAATGATGTCAGATGTTCGCTCCCTGATGTCTGCAGAGAGGCAGCACCGTCAGGAGCTGGAGCAGGCAGAGCTGGAAAAACGGGAATTAATGGAGCTGCTGAGGGGGCTGCAGAAGGACTGTCGGTTAACCACTGCAGAAGGAAGCAGGAAGCCGACAAACTTCCGCCCTCTAACACGACTAGAAAGCGTGAAACGAAAACCTAGGGAAGTTACAGTTATCTAAACAGAAGTAAGCTCAAAAAGCACTTTCTTCTATTTTCCCATCCAGCTAACTTTTCTACTTTGGATGAATGACTGGTAAACTTTACTTGGTGTCTTTTAAGATCTATATTACTCTATTTTCTCTTGGGGCATATAAACAAATGGAAGAATTTTCTCTTAGGGAACATTGGGCATTAAAGCCACTAGCTAACAAATACATTTTTAGCTAATGTTTTTATAAAAAGGGAGAAAGAGACTTGATTTAGCATCTCTTCAGTGTGTCATTTGCAGGAGTCTTTCAAGCCCTTGAAAGTCAAAGATAAATAAAGGTTGTTACCTTCCTGGTCCATTGTAGTTTGCCTAAGTAGTTTATGCTTATGCTTGAAACGGAAAGAAAATGTAATCATCACTAATGACATTTGGGATGTCCTTCATTGTGGGAAAAGTCAGTAATAGAATTAGTAAGTCAGTAATAGAAATTAATAGATCTTTGTTTATAGTCTGTAGAAGGTGGAAAGAAAGCACTTTAGATTGTAATTCTCCTGCTATGTAATAGCTTCAGGTAAGGTTGACTTTTACTTTAGAGCTTCTCTAATTTCCCAGGCTGATACACACTGAAGAGACTAATACCAAAGCCTGAAGTAATAAAGTCACCCAGAACCTTTTAAATACTTGTGTAAGTAACTTGGAGTTTGTGGGAGGAGGTCTGTGTTTGATTTCAAAATTTGAAGTTTTTGTATGTGCAAGTATCAGCTATTTCTACAGGGTCCTTAAAGCTGAAGACCAGCCTGTTTGGTACTCAGTATCTTTAAAGCCTGTATAAATAGGAGTATCCTTAATTTTCTTCTAGCAGGTTTAAGGCTACTTGAACATTAGTGTCCACAACAGACAAACATTTGTACAGTCACTTGGACTTCAGGTGTCTTTATTAGTACTCAAGTTTGCAGTTGTGTAAGACCCATGAATACTGAATCACAGGGGCATTTATCTGTAAGGACTGCATGAGAAATCTGTATAGTTCATTGACTTTTCTCTAAACTTCTCACCCAACCTGTTCACATGGGTTTCACTGATATAACTAAGCCGTAGTCTGTCCGTTGCAGCTCTCCAGTGGAGTCACTAGGGAAGAACCTGGCTGCTGTTTACTGAATGTGTGAAATTAGCTTTGAACTGTCAGGATAATGTGTGCAGGTGCAGCAATCTGAATAAGCTGATTTTATGGTTTAGAAAGCAAATAAACAACTGTTCATGCCTTGCTGTCACTCAGAGCAATGCTTTTATGGCTAACAGCATACCCAAAGAGAGAGGCAACAGTCTTCTGTAGCACATACGCTACATTATGAAGACTTGCGGTCACAGCTGTCTGATTTCAGGCATCAATAAATCCTTCTAACTTGCTGTCTCTTTAGTACCACTGAAGCAGATGTGCACATGTTCAGATCTTGTGCATTTAAAAACTGACAGAAATAACTCTTCTGTAAATGTTTTGGGTTTCTTCTTCTGAAAGAGAACATTCATAGCAAGAGTTATGTCCAAATATTTACTTGTTTTCAGTCCTTATATTGTAGATGAAATTACATTCATTGCCAGTATTTAGATCACTATAGCAGTCTCACTAACTCGTGACATGGCACATCTCTTAAGCAACCATATTAACAATCTGAACCAGTAAAACAATAGCTGTAATTTCGGAAGACTTACATTCACACTAAACATTCAGTGGTCATTTCATTCACATCAGTGTGCATATTAAAGCTGTAGGGGGAAAGTAAGAATGAGTTTATTACCTTGTGTTCTAAATAAGTTAGCTGTTGGTGTCTGGTGTCTATGTGGCTCTATTTCAGCATTCACTCTTAATTTTGAAGCTTCTTGGCAACACCAGATTTCAATGCTGTTAGAATCAGTGCTTTTTTTTTTTTTCTGTAACTGTGTGGTTCTATCATGTGAATTTATCTCCTTTGCTTAACATAAAAGAAAAAAAAATACTTCAAAATCCTGTAGAATTCAGATTAACTGGATCATCTTTCCCAAGTTTGAGGGCAGTAACCCAATCTTTCTGTTCTGACCACACGAAAAAGCAAGTTATTAGCTCTGCGCTTTCTCCATAACTAGATCTCTGCATTTGTCTGTTTTAGGTGTTTCACCCACTTCTTAGTGTGAGGTGTCCCTGCCCATGGCAGGGGGGTTGGAACTAGATGATTTAAGGTCCTTTCCAACCCTAACTATTCTGTGATTCTGTGATTCTATCACTAAACTCCTCCTAGTACAGGAAATAGGGTTTATTTAATATTTACTTAGCATATGGTGTGCTGTCTGTCCCCTACATGACAGATGAAACTGCATGAGAAAACACAGCCTAGGTGGTAAGGAAGGACTTTAATCTGCACAGTCTGTTTAGCTTCTAGATGCCAGTTCTGAACTTCCAGTGCTCAAATGTGGCAATACTTTGGACCCACCTGCTGCTGGAATGACCCATCAGCTTAGGTTCCCTTTAGCAGCAAAGAAGCACTTGCAGAGATATGTTAAATAGTTGTGCTAGTAGTTGATAGCATCAGATCCCTCCAGTTACTTTAAGCTTAATCCCATTCCTCTGTGTTGGTAACTGTTCTGCACTTAAGACTTTCCTCTGCTGATGAACTACACACAGGATGGAATGTGCTGAAGTGTGGTCATCATTTTACCTGTTCTGTAATTGCCTAGGCTGAAATTAAATAGCCCATTGTATTTTCTCTACTTTTAGCTTTCCCAGTCTCATGTATTACACAGCTCTCCACAGCAGCTGGCAGAAGCAAGGGATTTTTTTCTTTCAAATAGTCTGTTAATTCTTTTCATAAAAACTAAGGGTCTAAATTTAGACTAATAAATTCTTCACTGTGAGGGTGGTGAGGCATTGGCACAGGATTACAGGAGAGACATTGCTGAAAGTGCATTACAGGAGGGCTGCAGCACTGAGTTAGTGGTTGTAGTATTCTCATGCTAAATCACGGAGAGAGAGCAGACTGTGGAGCCAGGTGAGTGGAGGGAAAGAGTATATGCACTCCAGCTGTCTTCCCTGAGCCCGAGGGCAATGATGTGGCTGCCTGTGCCACCAGGTTTCTCACCAGGGTAGACTGCTAGCCTGTGGCATTACAAATAACCTAGCATTAGAATTAAAAGGAGATTAAATCTTTATCCCCAGGTAAGTGGGTACAAAATATCACAGTACCAAACCTGGGAGTTTCACAAACAAAACTCATAGAGCATGCTGTTTAATAAAGTATGTGAGACTACAGGGTATTACAAGGAGGATTGGCTGAGGGAACTGGGGTTGTTTAGCCTGGAGAAGGCTCAGGGGGGGACCTTACCATTCTCTACAACTACCTGAAAAGAGATTATAGTGAGGAGGTGGTTGGTCTCTTCTCAAAAGTAACAAGAAGTAACCCCAGCTGTAAGGTAATGGTTAGACTTAAATGATTTTAAAGGTCTTTTCCTACTTAGTTGGTTATGATTAAACTGGGTGAGAAAGAGGATGCATTCAACGAAATGAGTATTTTAAAGAAAGTGGTTATCTTTGACAGGAAATCAACATTTACATCATCATTCTGAGGACCCAAGAGGACAGTTACAAATATAGGTCAACTGTTTCCCTTCAACTGACTTCTCCCCTAGAGAGGTCAAATTACAGACAAAATATAGTTTCCTCAGTTTCCTTCAGCGTTAAAGCTGTGTTCCCTGTTCTGCTGTGCTCCTCCCAGGCAAAAACTGCTGGGATTACTTGAGCTGGAGTGGGAACAGTGATTTTGGGGAGGCTTAGCTGAGTTTCAACAAAAGGCCTGGAACTGAGAACCGCACATTGGAGGGCCGAGGAAGAATTTTGCTCACCTCCCAGTTAGGGTGGCAGTTTGTGCTTAGTACGATTCTAGTACTACATCAACAGTCTCATGTGAGAGAAACTCATTTAAGTAGCAAGCAAGAGTTTGTTGTTTTTTGTCAGCACAGAAAGGAATGGAATTACACATATAACATACCTAATAGAGTGAAGTATTTTTAACTGGACAAGTGATTTTATATCAAATGCTGTTAGTGTTTTTAAGAAGTCTGATCAATCCCATGTGACAAACAGTTCCTAAGACATACAGAATTTGTAGCCTTGCAAGTTAACTTTTCCACGTGTTGTCCTCTTGGACGTTTCTGGCATGGTGCTTTTCTACAGCCATTTCACCTAGGAGTGGGGGGTGGCATTCAAAAGGAGCAGTACAAGCCTTGCCTTTCTCCATGCCGTTTGTCAGGTGAAGGATGGTCAGTCAGGGAGATTTTACCACATAGGTAGATGCCTTTATAAAGACCTACAATTCTATGCAACTTTCTATTAACAGATAAATACTGAACTGTCTTCCAGCATTATGGTTCACTGCCAGTCTATGTACATTTTCTACCTTTATATACACAAGAATAAAATGGTGCTTAACAGATCTTAATCTCTAGTCTGTATGAGACAGTAAACACTCTTTGTATCGCTTTGAAGTATGCTTTGCATAAAAGTTGAACTAATAAAGGCTCTACACCATGATTACTGCAGTTTGGTTTGCTTCTTTCTGCTGCACAAGTTTGAGTATTCTTTATCAAGTGAAGCAGCATGTAATTCAGGTGTGCTGGCTGCACAGCACAGGGTCAGTGCACTGGAATGGATGAGGTTATGTTTTGCCAAGAGAGGCAGTATATAGCAATAAACAAGGTTGTGTCCCTTTTCAAGGACTTCTTTCCTGCCTCACTGGTGGGAGTTTTGCATGGGATGAGCAGCTGCTTTGAAGGTGAAGAGCTACCCAAAGTTGAAAACTCCAGGACTACACAAGTGTGACACTCCAATTCTGAACAGAGGAGGAAACACTGACAAGAAGAGGAGAATTAATTCCCTCAACTGAAGGGATCTTGTTCCCAATGTAGGTTTTTCACAGCCACTACAGACACATCACATGGAGGATATGAACATGTAGGAACAGGAAAACAAGTTGTTCACAAGGTGTGATCTAGGGATGCATCTGCTTAAACACGAACAGTCAGCACAGAGCACTGTAGAGCATTTGCTGTGTGCAGTGCTCTGCATTAACTGCCTTGAGCATATTCTCCTGCCTGAGAGTAGGAGTTACTCAGTGGTTTAAAAAAGGCTGAAAGCTTGCACAGCACAGCTATAGCGTGCAGATAACCTGGTACCTGCTTACACCTATCCATCCATCCACCCACTTCCAGTGTTCTGGGGCTCCAGTCAGGACACAAAACTTGAACATTTCTTTTTGGGCAGAGTATAAAAAGCAAAATTTAATACTTAAACTGTTAATCACTCATGGTAGGAATCCAGTTTAAAAGAAGAAACCAAGTACCTCTAAGTTTTAAACAGCATTATTTCAAGTTGAATTTATCCAAGAAAGTAACTGCTTTGCATTGAAGGGTCACAGATCTAAATTCATTTTAAAAAACCCCAAACAAAACATGATACATGTATACTTCAAGTCTAGCTAAATTTACAGAGCTTGCATACATCAAACAATTCAACCAACCCTTTTATTTCCTCCTAGACTGAAAATGACTGGTAGACATGCCATGTGTTTTGAACGTTCAATAACCAAGACTGAGTATTTACATATTTATTCCATGCTTGACACTTTTCATTTCAAATCCCCTGACAGAAAACAAGTGCTCGGTGTCCCTGTGAGCTTCCAACACCCAGAAGGCTCAAAAAAAAATAAAACCACCTTAAACACATGGTGTAAAGGAACTACTCAGCTTTGAAAATACCCGCGCAGCACTCCTTAAAAAAATAGCATCAATGCCTTGGTGAGAGCTCCACCCATTGTAGTCATTGCAATTGCATTATTAGTAACATTACAGCTTCCTGTTATTTCACCATTCAGTAAATTGCCTGGCTGCCAATCCAGATCGTTGTGTTATTTCAAACCTTTGCGACCTGACAAAACCCCGCTGAACTGCACCCAGCCAGTGGACAGGAGTTTGTGTCAATTGACTTTGTACCAACCAATCACCTCTCAAAGAGTGGGATGCTGTCCCAGCCTCCTCACAGCAAAAGGACACATAACAGGGGCCTTCTGTGGTTCAGATAAAACCCCACTTCATTTAGCTGTGTAGCATACAGCCAAAATCGATTTGAAGTACTATCAAACTTTAGAAACACTTAAAATTGGGTGGTAAAACTCACAAGTCTGGTCAGACAAGCTGCCCAATGTAAGCTTACATAGAACAAGAACATTACAACTGGGCCTTACTTAAGTAGATGAAGACCCCTTTAGAGCACTTTTCGTA